TGTTGGTTAGGTAGGTTTGTAAACGCTGTCTGGAGTCTGTGGAGTGAAATGCAAATGACCCTTGGTTCCGTGACATGGACATACGGCTACAACCCAGTTACCAAAATAATTCTCAAACGGGTAACAAAATTTCAGTTAACAGAAGCAACAGATAATACCGAAAATAGCTGAAACACAACTTTACTTCACGTGAAACAACGGTGCTCGCACGCACCGAGACGCTCTCGGCTTCAAATTTCACATTGCAGAGCTGGCCACGATCCCTCCTCAATCATTCGAGCACTTTCGCTGTGTGAATTCATTCTCAGGAAAGATTTGTTGTTTGGGCCAATGACCTTCCCTCTTCGTGTCAGCAATGTTGATGGTGCAAAGCATAATTGAAAAACGTATGCTTTGTCGCGCAGTTACGCTATGATGGCAACTTCCATAGATTACGGTTGACCAAAGAGCTCTACCGGCCAAAGAGCTCTACTGTCTCCGCATCCGGTTCACTGCGATGTAAACCAACCAAGTTTGCGACGCTCTGCACTGCCGCATCATGGGGGTACGGCCGCCTGTGGAACGAGCCGTGTTACAGGTACATGAGTAGACGCTCATGTACCTTGTGTGTGTGTGTGTGTGTGTGTGTGCTTGGGGGGGAGAAGGGGCGAAGGGTGGCTGTGAACAAGGTGGGTGGATGCGTTGGGAAGAGAGAGGGTGCTTGTGTGTGCGTGCGTGTGTCTGTGTGTGTGTAAGGTGGGGAGGACAGGATAACTCAAGGAGAAGGGGCCTCTTGTGATGAAAGCATGAATGACTTGCGCACCCTAATCGGGACGTGTGCTAGGGAGATGTTCGGCGTCGCATGGGGAAAGGTGAATTTTGTGAAGGGTGACTGGTGGAACGAGGACTGTGCCGCTGTGCGGAATGATATGATGAGTTTCCGTAAGGAGCCAGAGACCCCGTCTCGGGCAAGCTGCCGGACATTCATAGGGCTACCTGGAAGGCCAAGCATCGTGTCTTTAAGAAGGCTACTAGGAAGGCAGCTATTCAGGAGACCGAATTGGAAAATATGCGGAGGGCGATTAAGGCCACGTTGTCCAACCCACGCGGCTTGTGGACATGGCTGCGTGGGGGAAAACCGCCTGATTGCTGGATCTCAGATATTAATGCTTTTACCGAGCATTTTTCCAAGGTGCTTAAGGGTGCGGGAAGCGTGAGGCAAGGCTGCAAACGAGGGTATACAGAATAAATGGCAGGATGAGGACCGGGTGATGCACCGACGGGAATTAGCTGCTTGGCTTAACAAGGATTTTACGGAGGGCGAAATTGTTAGCGGTCTCAACGCTATGCGCAACATAGCCTGTCCGTGGGCCTGGAGGGAACCCCGGCCGAGTATTATAGGTACGCTATCAGGGAGAGTGAAGGGCAGCGGCCCGTGTTTGTGTTGGCGCCTTACTTAACGGTGCTATGCAACCGCATATATGGAGCTGAATATCCGCGAGCTGATTATTCACGACTTATTCACGACTAGCACCCTTTTCCCCGTATACAAAAAGGGGGACGCGTCCTGCTGCGACAGTTATCGGGGCATTGCGGTTGGGGGCCCACTATGCAAACATTACGCAATATCATCGGGAGGCGACTTATCAATTACTGTGAGGGCAACAGGCTACGCACCGGTAGCCAGGCTGGGTTTGGGCATGGTTATGGCACCGAGCACCACTTGTGTACCCGCATCAATACTACTAATATAACATCCATGGACCCCCGGCTTTTACGGACACACCCGCACGCAAGTGCGGGTTCCGCACGCAAGTGTGGAACTTGTAACTTGTTAGGGTTGAAAATCCTTCCGATGGTTCAAGGTAAAAGTGCCCCTAGTGGCAACAAGTGATAGGGAACGGAAATGTGGCGGGAAGGGGCTAACAGGCGAGGGTGAACGGGAGAGATATAGGGTGATAGGGAGCTGGGCGGCGCACGATCTCGCTGCTCACAGCAGTGCTGGGTGACAATGATGGTGCATCGATGGATGACCTCGAAAGAAGAAGCTACGGATGGCTTAGCCCTGTCAAAGGAAAGCCCCCCATGATAGTTCCATGGCGCCCTTGTTCGGGCCGCAGTTCCTTTTGTAAGCAAACGTGACTTAAAGCACCTTAGATACTCAAGAAGAACTTCAAGCACCATAACGCTGTATCAATAGCTCTTGGCACTTCCGCCATGGGCAGATTACGCCAATCGCCCGCTATGCCACATAAGCAAAAATGAAGCAACGGCCTTCATGATGACTTGACCTGTTGTTTGCAAGGGCTTGCACTTAGGGATCTTGCTTCCGGGAGGACGTAACCAGGTGCAGAGGAACGGAGGTGAACGTGATAATGCAGTGACATACAGCTATAATATAAAAGTTTAATAGGCTAACTGTCGACAAAGTGAGTTCGCCGAACTGCACCTTTCCAACACACTTGGATTTGCAGCTGTTGCGCAGCTTTACCGGACGCCGTACAATTTTGCTGGCCTCTGACAAAAGGCACCTCCCATAGCACTTCCAGCTCCATTAGCAAATGTGCACAACGTCCGATATTTGATCACAGGCTTTCACCCAACGTTTGAGCCCTTTTTTTCGGCCTGTTCCAGCTCTGGTGCGTCCGTAAAAGCTGCAAGCTTCCTACATATGACCAGCAAATGAGGAAGCCTGAACAGCTGCGCGGCGCCCTGAGAAGCTGCTGTGGACCCTGCAAACGTTTGCAAGGTACTGTTCGTTGCAAAACCTTCATGCTGTAGCCGCCGCACTTCAGTTCCATTGCTCTAATTTATTACGCGGTTATCTCAAGCATTTATTTATTGAACCCCTGCTGACGTTGCTTCAGGCACAGCGTCGCCGCTTCACGGACATCGACTTGCCTGACTCATTTGTGAGGGCAAGGTGCGACTTGCGGCAACTCATTTTTTTGAGGTGAGATGCTTGCTTCTCGAGCTTGTGTATGGATCTTTGAAACATAAGGGGCTTTGTCGACGGGCTTTCGACGGGCATGTGTTTGTGCAGCGCTCTGCTGCAAGAATATGGGCGTATGCGGCGTTTGAGCGTAATTCCGACAGTTGTGCTTTAGCTGTGTAAGGAGCCTACGAAGGCTGAAAGCTTGGCGGTCTGGCAGGAAAGTACACGTCGTTAGGCGAGACATGACCACTTCGTCCGATGTCCGTGACCTTCCTCGCGACAGAGACGACTGCTCATTGGAGTTGCCCAAGACCTTCAAGATCGACCGCATTCCACCTGGCAACGAGAATCTCTGCGTACACCACATTTCAACTCTCCAAGACCCCAGTGCGATGTTGCGTCGGCGTGAAGCAAGGGCCCCCATTGTCAACGCTTCTAATCAACGCAGTCAAGCTCACATCGTCTTCCGCTGCTGGTGAGTGACGCCGGATGCACGGTCGTCCGTACATGTCGTAGGTTAGTTAGAACGCGCCTAGATTTCCGGTCGTGAGGCCGTTACACGTCGTATCAAGGTCGGCCATCGTTCTTGGATTCTATGGGTGAAGGCGCGTTGCACATGGATAGACGAGTTGGTGACGGAGGGGGATTTCGGTATGAAATTGTTGTACCTTGGTAAGGTGCGGCGTGTAGGGAGTACGGCATGAAGGTCTTTCCCCGTATGTTCACTGCGTGGGTGCCACTTTGTGTCCGTTCGTGATGTAGTGTTGTCGTACATACGTTCGGAGCAAAGTTTCTTGCTGTGGGTGTTTCGTGGCGCGGTGTTTTTCTCCTGTTGTGCCGGCAAGCAGCAACAGCAACAGCGACAGCAAAAGCACAAAGGCAGCAAACTGCAAAGATAAGGTCAGCAAACACAGATAGAAGCTGCAAAGCCGGCCGGTGGTTATTGTTGCGGTGTTCAGTGGCTTGTATTTGTGCGCAATTGTATGTATGTTTGTATGTATGTATGTATCTGTTCAAATGTGGGCGAGAATGTACTCACGCGCGCGCGTGTGCGTGTGTAAGTGTATGTAGGTGTGTGTAAGAGGGTGTATGTGTGTGTGCATGCGCGCACGCGTATACGTATGTGTATGTGTGAGGGTGCTACTGTTTTTACTTGTGATGGAGAATTCCCAACTGCCCGCGATGTGCCCGTGTGCGTATTAGTACGTTTCTGCATTTTGTGCGCAGCTGCTCATGTTGTTTTGCTGTGCAAAGTCTGTGCTCGTTGCGTCCCCTGCTAGCTGGTTAACAACGTGCCTGTGTGTGTATTTCCCTGCCCACCTCCCGCCTGATCCCCCCGCCGGTCTGAGCGAGCCTGGGCGAGGACTTACGTCGGCCGCCTCGCCGTCGGCCGCCTCGCCGTCGGCCGCCTCGCCGTCGGCCGCCTCGCCGTCGGCCTCTCGCCGTCAGCTTTCCGCGTTTCCACGTCACGGTTTGTCGTACCTCCGGTGCGTCACGCGCTAGTTAAACGCATCCCTTGTCTGTTCTGTGCATTTCCTTGTTGACGTTGCCTTATGTATGTCATTGTACAGTTTTGCAGGGCGTTACGTCTTGTTCGTTAGTTGGTTGTAAAGCGCTGTTGTCTGTTGTGGTTTTTTGTTGTTGTGCCGCATGCGACGTGCTTGTGCAGTCTTCTTTTGTTTGCATCATAAAGCAGATCATGGCCGGGCAGCAGATCAGCAGCTGATAGGCAAAACAGCAGATCAGCAAACATCTAGGAAAGACAGCAAACTAGACCAGCTTACCGGCTTTTAGCAGCACGTGTGCCGTGGTGTGGTGTATTGTGCTGCATGACAATGTAACTATTTTGTAAGTGTCGATTTGTAAGATTTTATGTTGCATAATTCATATTGCATCCTGAATAAATTAATAATATTTTACTCATGATTATTTCCTTAAAGCATTAAAGATAAATTGTACGTCAAGTAGATGTACTGTGCAATTTTGTTGTTTATACGCAATATACATTAAAGTAAAGTTTTGTATAATGTATTATCGTTACGTGATGCTTCCGACGTCAGCGTGTCGTCCCCAGCGGGATCATTGTGTGCGTGTGTGCGTGTGTGTGTGCGTGTGTGTGTGTGCGTGCGTGCGTGTGTGCGTGTGTGTGTGTGTGTGTGTGTGCGTGCGTGCGTGCGTGTGTGTGTGTGTGTGTGTGTGTGTGTGTGTGTGTGTGTGTGTGCGTGTGTGCGTGTGTGCGTGTCTGTGTGTGTGCGTGTGTGTGTGTGTGTGTGTGTGTGTGTGTGTGTGCACGCGCACGCCTGTATACGTATGTGTGGGTATGTGTGGGGGTGCTACTGTTTTTACTTGTGATGGAGAATTCCCAACTGCCCGCGATCCGCCTGTGTGTGTGCTTATTAGTACGTTTCTGCTCATGTTGTTTTGCCGTGCAAAGTCTGTGCTCGTTGCGTCCCCTGCTAGCTGATTAACAGCGTGCCTGTGTGTGTATTTCCCCGCCCACCTCCCGCCCGATCCCCCCGCCGGTCTGAGCGAGCCTGGGCGAGGACTTCCAACAGGACAACATGTATCGGCGCGACGAGCCGTCGCCACCGCCGTACATCGCCGTCATGTGTGAGAATGTAAGTACGAGAGGGGCCTCGTTTCACACGTCCCCATGCCGTCTTGCAACGCTTTGCCATAGCATGTCGGATTTGGGATGCCGGATTTGGATTGCCGACCACCAATCAATCTGCATCATCAACCCTTTGTTGTGGTATGCATGATGGCATGGCATGGTCGAGGGTCGTTTGTTCCATCTCTGAGTTGT